AAAAAAAAAAAAAAAAAACTAACAAACTAGAAAGGTAATCAAATTAAGTATGAAATTTAAAAATATCACTGAGCTGGGCAGTGGTGGAGTATGTCTGTGTTCAGGAGGCAAAGGTAGGCAGATCTCTGGGTTTGAAGACAGCCTGGTCTACAGAGCAAGTTCCAGGACAGCCGAGACTACATAAAGATACCCTGTATTGCAGGGTGGTGATGGCTCATAATTTTAATCCCAGCACTGAGGAGGCAGAGCCAGGCAGATCTCTGTGAGTTTGAGGTCAGCCTGGTCTACAGAGCGAGTTCCAGGACAGGCACCAAAACAACAAGGAGAAACACTGTCTCGAAAAACCAGAACAAAAGAAAAAAAGAAACCCTGTCTCAAAAAATATCAACATACATATATGTATACATGCATATATATCACTGACACTATGACATAACAATTTAAAGGCTCATTTCTGCTTGATTTATTTATTTTGAGATAGAATCTTACCATATGGTCATGGCTAGCTTGGAACTCACACAAATCTCCCAGCTTCTTTCTCTTGAGTGCTAGAATTAAAGGTGTTTGTAACCGAGCCCAGAGTAAAGGCTTAATGAATGAATGAATAAATGAAGTCATTAATTAGTGGATTTTTTTGTTATTGTTATTGCTTTTTTTTTTTTTTTCAAGACAGAGTGTTTCTCTGTGTAGCTTTGGAGCCTGTCCTGGAACTTGACCTGTAGACCAGGCTGGCTTCAAACTCACAGAGATCCATCTGCTTCTGCCTCCCAAGTGCTGGGATTAAAAGTTTGCGCCACAACCACCTGGCTGTTTCTGTTTTGAGACAGAGTCTCTCTATAGAACTCTGGCTGTCTTGGACTTACTATGTAGACCAGGCTGACCTCAGATTCACAGAGATCATCTGCCTCTGCCTCCTGAGTGCTGGGATTAAAGGCATGCAACACCACACTTGGCAAACCTGATTATCATTTTTGTTAAAGACCAATAAGTTACGAAAGGGGAAATTTGGAGGACAGAATAGTAGAAAACTCCTTGGGGGCTGGAAAGACGGCTCAGTGGTTAAGATCACTTACTGCTCATTTAGAGGACCCGGTGGTGACTGGCAACCATCTGTAACCCCAGGACTAAGATGTGATGCCCTCTTCCAGACTCTGAGGCATTGCACACATGTGGTGCACCAACATACACTTACGTGGTGCAGACAGAACACTCAAACACATAAATAGTAAATTGATAAATCTTAAAATGACTGGCACTGAAGGTAGTTATTTAATTTAAAAGTGTCCTAGAGAGGCACCATAAGCATTTCATATTGACCCAAAACATGTAACTATTCTTATTAATTTGCTGATCTGTCTGTCTGTCTATCTATTTGTCTGTCTATCTATTTGTCTATCATCTATCTATTTATCTATCTATCTATCATCTATTTATCTATCTATCTATCTATCTATCTATCTATCTATCTATCTATCATTACTATTATTTGCTTTTTTTGACGGTCTCTCTACATAGTCCTGACCGTTCTCAAACTCATTACGTAGACCAGGCTGGTTTCAAACTCACAGAAATCTGCCTGCCCCTGCCTTCCAAGTGCTGGGACTAAAGGTGTGCACCACCATGCCCTACCTATTTTTAAGATGTTGTGTCTGTATATATATCTACATGTAGTTATGTGCATATGAGTGCAGGTACCTGTGGAGGCCAAAGGCATTGGATCATCTGGATCTGAAGTTAGAGGAAGTTGGAAGCTGCCATATGTGGGTGCTGGGAACTGAACTTGGGTCCTTTAGAAGATCAGTAAGTGCTTTTAACTGCTGAGCCATCTCTCCAGCCCTGAGACCCTGTTTTCGTTGA